TGTTCAATCTTAACAATAAATAAATAAATAATAGACTAGCTCTTAGGGAGAAGCTGAAGATTAAATGAGTAAAAATATGGGAAGATATACAATAAAATAGAATATTTTTGATAAATGCTAGTAAGCTAAAAAAGCAGATTACATAGCAGAGCGTATAATTCCATTTTTTGCAAAGAAAAATTTCTAGAAGGAGATCTACCAAAATATTAATACTGACTATTTCTCTGGGTAATATGACTATTAGAGACTATTATTTTCTTCTTTCAATCTGCTTGTTGCTTTACAATTTTCCAATTTTCTGGGTGCAAACCCAACAGAAATATCACGATTATAGACATTTATGTTACAATGATGTAAAATACTAAGTTTACTCATAAAACACACACAATAATCTTTTCCCAGATCTTGAATTCCTTAATAGTAACTTCAAGTAAGGCAAATTTACTTCTCCCAATTACCCCCCACCCAACTGCTCACACATTCCCTGTACCCTCATTTCCTACCTTACTTTTCTTCATAGCCCTAGCAAATTCTAACTTCTAGACATTTTATTATCTCTCTTCCTTCTTGACTGTAAGGAGCACAATGGCAGGAATGAGCTCATATGCTCATTGCCTGGACCAGTTCCTGGCATGAAGGAATTCAGTATTTATTAAAAAAAAATTAATTTGGTACCAGATTTATGAGTAACTTCTGTTGGGTTTAATTCTTTAAAGATGAAAAATGGCCATTGATAATAAAGAAAAAGTTAAAGCAGATGACATAAAATGGGGAGGGGGGGAGGCTCCCTCCCTCCCCATTGAAGCCCCTAGAAATACAAATGTGAGGTAAAGTCAATCTAATGAGGAAAGCAGTAACAAAGATGTATTTAAGAAGGAGTTGCAGCAAGTACTTTTTTGAGATGAGGTCACCATCATGCTACAAAGACTATAAAACCTAGATACTGGAGGGACACCTAGGTGGCTCAGCACCTGATCCCAGGGCCTGGGATCAAGTCCTGCTCTAGGCTCCTTGTGGGGAGCCTGCTTCTTCCTCTACCTATGTCTCTGCCTGTGTCTCTCATGAATAAATAAATAAAATCTTAAAAAAACAACAACGAGGTATTGGAGTAATGTTCAAAAAAAGTTTTAGTTTATCTGTATCTAGTCTAAATGGCTCTGAACATCTCAAGCATACAAGTGACTCATCTCTCTGGAACCAGTGGAACACTGGATCCTTGGAGCCCAAAACTTCAAATCAGAATCACAGAATGAGAACCAGACACCAGAAGGAAGGAGAGGTGGACAACGAAAGCCTTCCAATATAGGCTGTCTCTTCAGTAAGACAAAATCAATTTATAAGCTGGAACTTCACTGGAACTCTGGAAGAGGGAAAGCCTAAAATGCTCTTGATGAGGAGAAAGTAAATAGAAATTAAACTATAGCTTCTGTTCTACCATTGTTTCCAGGACTTACCACAAAGTTACAAAGTGCTACACATACATGCATCTTAGTCCACATCATTCTCTGCAAATTTCATTAATCTTGAAGTTCTCACTTATATTCACCAAAATGTATTCCATGCTCACTAAAAAGTAAAATTACCAAATGCTATATATGCTGTGAAATTTATTAACCTGCCCTACTTCTTATATTTAAGCACTCATTCTTAAGTGTGAAAGAGAGGCAGTAGGGTGGTGAAAAGTGTCCAAATACATATACCAATGTGTTAAAGGAAAAAGAATATGATAAAGCGTAGTTATCAGTGCCCTCCTGTCAGAAAAAATAAACCTTCCTGGGGTTTATCTGCATGGACTCTCCAAGTTTGATGCGGCCCACCATTCTTGACCATTCTTTCCCATTGTCAGCCTCATACCAGGCAAGCATTCTTCACACTGAAAAGTACATTATTAAAAAAAAAAAAAAGTACATTATTTAAGCACCTGGATTTGAAAACTTGGAAGTGATAATCTAAAGCAGTAGTTTCTTTTGCAGATATAGATGTTTTCTTCTTTTAGGCTATGTTTCTTCCCTACCCCAAATTAAGGGGACTAAAAAGACAGATTCTTTAGGGCGGATATGGGATTCTGGATCAGTTCTTTTATTTTCCAGACGTCTTATATGGATTGCTTTGATAAGATTAAATAATGAGGCAAAAAAAGTTAATTTTTTCCAGTCATTAGGTAAAAAGACCCTTCCCTCCCCCCCCAAAAAAAGCATTAAACTAGTTTGAAATTTCTCACTGAAGCTATCTGGAATAGTGGTAACATTTATTGGGCACTTATACTAAGCAATAGTCACTGTGCTAAGCACTTTATATCACATACAATAAAACTATGAGATAGATACATTTTATAGATGAGAAACAGAAGCTGAGAATTAAAATCAGTTGCTCAAGGTCATACAGCTTTTTGGTGTTGGGAGTTAGGAGCAGGAGGATTAACTTGAAAGCCAGTATCTTATCTACTATGGTTACAAAGCAAATAAGTGAAATTTTTATTAACCACAACACTTTTTCTAAAGTGAATATGCATTAGTGAAGAAAATAATCTAGGAAACATAAAACACTTACTTAAATGAGACAAGTTAAATGTCTACCACCTGATAATAGATCCCTAAATGTCTCCTATAACCACTGCTGAATAGCTTCACAAGTAACTAAATCACTCAGCATCCTTATATAGCTGTGAAATGATTTTTTAAGTGGATCTCTCAAAAATACTATACATTTGCAAATGAAATATGCTGCCCTCTTAGAGTTGTATAAATACCTTATTTCTTGATGTAGTCACTGCCCTATTTCTGCCGTTTCCTCTCTTCCTCCCCCACTTCCTCTCTGCCTTAAGATCCTTTAAGATCAGTTCAGTTCCTCCTTCTCAAAGAATACCTACAAAAATGCAGTCTACCCAAAAGGACTCTAACACCAGCAGCTGTCTTCTGTCATCAGTTGCTGTGCTCTATAGTTACAGGAGAGTACAAGTAAAATCTAAACTCAAGAAAAAAAGCCAGCATCTCTGATGCACCTTCATCTTCAGATCTATTCACCTACAGAATTAATTCTTTCAGATTTTATTTATTTATTCATGAGACACACAAAGAGAAAGAGGCAGAGACACAGGCAGAGGGAGAAGCAGGCAGAGAGCCCGATGCGGGACTAGATCTTGGGATTCCAGGATCACACCCTGGGGCAAAGGCAGACGCTCAACTGCTGAGCCACCCAGGCGTTCCTACAGAATTAATTCTAAACATTCTTTTTTTCTCTACTTCATACTTGGAATCCTGCCTTTAACAATTAGTGCACCAAAAAAGTCTGCCTTTTCTTAGTCTTTCTTCAAAAGTAGTTATTTCACACATTTTTCCCTAAGTAAGGTATTGAAAAGATCAGAATCCAAAAAGAAGAAAAAAAAGAAGGAAGCAAATGCACCGACAGGAATAAATACACCACATTTTTAGCAATGTAAGTTTTAGTGATATAATTTAGTAATATAATTAGTTTATTCTGAATCATTTCTGGAACCTGTTCATAAAATGCTTTACAAGTAAATATAGTATATAAGAATGCTACTTACCAGTAGGCTAACACGTATTTTCATTCATTGACTTATACGACAAATATTTATTGAATGCCCAAATAACTTTTAAAAAAATTTTTTCTGAATCTAGAGGGGTGATAAACGCACAGGTGCTAAAGTTAGAAGGATCTTGGTTTGAAACCTGGCTCTTGTATTTAGTAGCTCAGAGAGCAGTTAACCTCCAGATAGCATTTCACTCATTAAGTTGATAGGAAAAAAAGAACTACCCTTATGATCTTTGTGAGCTTTCACTGATTATGCAAAACAGCACAAGGCCTAACATGTACTAAGTACTCAAAAAATAACAATGGTAAATATATTTTGCTATTGAACGAAGTAGTTGAAGGAGATGGCCAATAAAATGTTCTTTTTGTCTTACTAGTAAGATGAAAATTTGTGAAACTCTATTAAAGATACATTAAAAATAAAAACCTTAAGGTTATGAGGGAATATTCCACTTTAAAAAAAAAGGAAGTGTTTGCTATGTAGGGTGAAATGACTAAAAAATAAGGAAGAAAAAGAGATGGATTTAAAAAAACCCTAAAGCTCCAGATGTGGTCTTAGGTGCAGAGAGGTTCCTTATATATATATATTTTTTTTTTGCAAAAATCCCATTTTTTAAAAATTTTTATTTATTTATGATAGTCACACAGAGAGAGAGAGAGAGGCAGAGACATAGGCAGAGGGAGAAGCAGGCTCCATGCACCGGGAGCCCGACGTGGGATTCGATCCCGGGTCTCCAGGATCGTGCCCTGGGCCAAAGGCAGGCGCCAAACCGCTGCGCCACCCAGGGATCCCAAAAATCCCATTTTTTATAACTATAATTGCAATCCCAGAATATGCCTAACACATTTCCTCGTATTCAGAAGAGATTGAGGTTTTAGCCTTGAGATCTGAACAACAGTAACTTTCTGCTCAATAATTCAGTATAAGGTCAGGTTTTTTCAGACCATTCTACTTTTCCTTATAAAGGTGAGCGGAGGGAATAAATACACTAGAACTTTAAAAAATACAAGGTGTTTTGCTGCTCATTAATATTGCATTAAAACAGCAGCAATGCACATTTTTCCATGCCCCTGAAAAATACAAAATTGTTTTTAAGTTAAGATTTTAAAAACAACGTCCACCTTCTTCTATACTTTTGAAATGACAAGAGATAAATGTCAGTCACACCTCAATAAAGCTGGGGGTGGGTGGGAGGCAGAAATTACTAGACAAGGTTAGGCACAGCCAAAGAGACCTAAAGGCATGCACATCAGAGTTGCTACTGTCTTTAAAATTTGAGGGACGTTATTAATTGATGTAAAGATTCTACGTGATGTTTCCAGATTGCCTTTAGGTTTCAGCACTAACCATACAGCAAACCAGTACAGGGAAAGAGGCAATTAATTTTCTTAAGAGGCTTAAGAAGCTTAACCTAAATTAAGCTAACACAACACAAAATTCCAAGTCACACCTCGCCCATCTCAGGGGTAATAAGCAAAGTAAACACTAGTGAAAACAAAGTACAGCATTTAAGAAAGCGATCATTTTGGGGTTAACCTTAACTCCTAAACCGGCTAGCTCTATCAGACATACTCCCAATTCATAATTTGAATGCGAGTCTCAAATGCAAGCATACTTGCCACCGGCAATCACTCAACGCCAAAGCACATGATCAATCACCCCAACGCTGCATCTTCTCACAGAATGCAAAGCCAACTGTAGTTTCAGCCTCTGTTCACCCATTCACTGCGCACATGCAGGCATCTTTTACAAAATAATAATAATAATAATAATAATAATAATAATAAGCAATAAACTTTTCTGTGGTCTGGGAGATTACATCTCTCCGGGCTTCCTGTATACCCTGGACGTCAATAACGCTAAAGTCTAATCGTTGACATTTCCCAACTTTGGGTTAAGGCGAGCGGCGGACGCCGAGCATCCGCCCACTGGCTGCTCGTGACTCGGGCTACTTTGACGCACCGGGATGCGGCTCACCTGACATTCCGCACCAGCCATTACCAAGGAAAGCCAACTCTGTGAGGGGAAAAAAGGGGGGGGGACCCGAGGAAGCGTGCGGGGGCCCCCACGGGCCGTCTTCTGGCGACACCCCGAACACAAGGGGCCGCGCCGCCCCCGGCCCTCCGCGCCGCCCGCACCTGCCGGGGAGGCCGGGGGCCTCGAGACCCGGCCCCGGCCCCGGCCGCTCGGCGTCCGCCCGGGGCCCCGCCGCGGGGGCAGGAACCGGGAGCGGAGGTTTCCGCCCGGCGCCGCCGAGCCCGCCGGGGGCTAGCTCCGGCTCCCGAGGGCCGGTCCGCCGCGGCCCGGGCGCGCAGCCGCCTCCCGGCCCGGCCCGCCGAGCCTCCCCGCGGCGAGCGCGGCGGCGGCGGCGGCGGCAGCGGCGGCGCCAGCACCTGCCCCGCGCCCTCCCGCCGCCCGGGCCGGCCGCCTCACCCACCTGGCGCCCCCGCCGCGCCTGCCGCTCGTCACACGCGACCCCGCGCCCCTCGGCACCGGCAGCGCGGCCGCGGGCGGACGCCGGGAGACGCTGCTCGGCCGCCGCCGCCGCCGCCCGGTTCGTCTCCAGGCCGCCGACAGCGAACCTGTTGCGCAGCCTGTCACGGCCGCTCGGGCTCCGCGGCGCCGCCTCAGCCCCACAACAACATGGCGGCCGCGGCCTCCGCAGGAAGCCGGGGGGCGGGGAGCGAGGCGACGGGCCGGGCAGCTGACGGCCCGCCCGCTGGCGGCCAGCACCCCTCGGGAGCCCGCAGTCGGCGGGGGCGCGGCTCCTCCCCCCCCAGAGTCCCGGGGCGCCGGACCCCGCGGGCCTGGTGCCAGGGCCCCGCCGTCCCCTCGGGGACGCCCCGAAGCCCCGGGCCCGGCTGCCCTTCCCGGAGCGGCGACGGCCCACCTGGCTCCTCCTCCGCGAGGTGACATGCTGAGGTTGGGCGGTGCGCTTCCTGCCGCTGCGGAACCCCGAGGTTTCCGTGGAAGGCCTGGCCGCATGGGACGCTGCCTGTTGCACCCCACGTGGGCCTCTCCCCGAAGCCGACTCTGAGGTTAACCCGCTGATGTGAGAGCTGGAATTCTCCTGCACGGGGATCTGAGGCCGGAGCGGGAGGTCGTCCCGGCCCTTGCTTCTGGGTCTGGTAGAGCCCCGGGACTGGCCGCACCCAAGGCCATCCATCCAGCATGCCTCCCCCTCCTCAGTGCCGCATGAAGAAGGCCAACATGATGGGGACCTCCACACCCGCCTCCACTTGGGAGAGCAGCTACCCCCTAGACTGTCATGAGCGTTAAAACGTTCGTCCGGCCCCAAACCCCACCACCTGGTCTGCAGAAGCTGAGCATTTCTTCCCCACGCTATGGCCGCCTTGAGATCAGAGTATCTCTTTCTTCTCAACACTTCCAGCCCCTCATCTCCTCACAAAACACCAGACTATACCTTGCCCTTGACACGGCACTCCTCCTAGAGAAAGGCTTTGCGTTAGCTGGGGTTGGAGGCGGAGGCATGGTTCCTGTGGGTATAACAATGGGGTTAAAGAGACCCAGTATTTCTGTTGGCTATCAGAGGCAGAGGGGGGGCTCACCCCATGCACAAAATTCATATCCCCGTGACTGAACGTTGGTAAAGGAGAAATCTGTGCAGGTCAAGTGGTCCCACGGCTTCATTACTTACCTGTGAGGGCAGGCGAAGGTAGCAAGGCTAGCTCTAGAGGGATAGCTCCAAGGCTTAGGCCTATCTGAACTGGCCAACCAACTTGTGAGGAATTTAGCAAACGTCTGTGGTGATAAACAGGCTTTTCCCGCTCTCACACTCAGTGTTTTTCCTAACTCTTCGATTAGGACCTGACCAAGACCTGACAGACAGGTCCTGCACTTTGGTGACACAGCGATGCCTGACTCCTTTGTGTTAGTCTAGGAAGTCCCTTACCTACTGGGGACCAGTTTATCTGACCCTTATCTCCTGGAGAGCAATCAATCTGCAAACAAATCACCCAAGCTAGGAACAACACTCTTGACCACATGGTCTCATTCCCATGGCGGACGTCACTAATTAATTGTGGTAATTGCTTTCTGAGCCCATATTCAAGAGTCTCAGCCTCTGAATCTTTCTTAGCATAATGCTCCAGAGACTTGGTCAAGGGGCAAAACCTGTTTTTTTTTTTTATTCCTGATAGGCAAATAGCTGGTCTCCATTTCCCTCCCACCATTTGGTCAATGTCATTTGTGTCTCTGGGTTCTGGACCTGGTGAAATTCACTCTCAGTCCCTTTTCTTTTCAAGGGAGGTGCCAAATCCTCGGCAGAACAAAAATTAAGTTTGTTTAAAAGCTTATTTATAAATAAAAGAAAAAACTTTTTGAACATCTCCCTAAATGAGCCAAAAATTTAGCAATTCTCGTGGAAATTGGTGTCCTGTATACAACTGGGAGCCTATAGGATCTCAACTGCTGACACATTATCTCAGAGTTCCAAAAGGTACTTTGAGGCCAGTTTGTCATTCAGTATGGAATGTCATAGATCATTCAGTATCTATGATTTATATAGGTGATCGTACGTCTTTGATATCCTTTTCTATTCACAGAGCATGCCTTGGAACTATATATGTAAATTTTCTCCTTGGTATTTCCCAAATCCCACCACCTCTTGTTTATCTCCAAGACCAACTGGTGATCAGATACTTGAAGGAACTAAGTACTACCTAAGACATAGAGACATACCTGTCAAGTCTAAAGTAGATTAGGAGTTATTGTAGGGTGAGAAGGCAGAGAGGTCAGGGAGGGGACTAGGCATATTACATTTTTCTTCCCCGAATTCTTCCACAATTTAGAATAGTTTCTTAGGCCTATTCCTAACAACCTAGCTTTTACTGGGGGAGCATTTAATCTCAGTCTGTTTTCCTTACCTACACTGATTCTCCTCGTCCCAAGCGTATATATGTTTTGTTACATCAATTTATCTTTCTGTTAGTTTTCAAGGATTCAATCCTTAACCCCATTCCTACTCAGTCTGCCCTCAAAACAAACTCACAGTTGTGGGAAGAGAAGTAATTCCAGACTCTAAGCATCCCAACAGGTAAATATATTATCTATTCTACAGAGAAGAAAGGCTATAAAAAAATGGAGCTCATATGTAATGCCTCTACTAGTAATATATTTCCAAGACAAATGATAAACATAATTTAAAACTTCCTTTATTGTTTCTTGTCATGCAGGTCTGTTGGCTACAAGTCCTTTTAGTTTTATCTGAAAATGTTATTTTCAGACTTGAATTATATATCCCCGAATATAGAATTCTGGATTGAGAGGGTTTTTTTCTTTTGGCATTTTATTTTTTTTAAAGGTTTTATTTATTTATTCATGAGAGATGCAGAGAGAGAGGCAGAGACACAGGCAGAGGGAGAAGCAGGCTCCTCGCAGGGAGACTTGGTTCCAGATCCTGGGATCATACCTTGAGCCGAAGGCAGATGCTCAACCGATGAGCCACCCAGGCATCCCTTCTTTGGGCATTTTAAAGATGTTTTCCCATTCTCTTCTGGCCTTTATGATTTTCACTGAAAGTCAGCTCTTGATAAAATCATTTTGTCCTCCATGTAATGTGCCATTTTCTCTTGCTGCTTTCAAAATTTGCTTTTTATCTTTTGCTTTCAATAATTTGACTTCAATGTGCACCACTGTGTACTTTTAAAAAAGATTTTATCTATTTATTTATTCATGAGAGATACAGAGAGAGAGAGAGAGAGGCAGAGACACAGGCAGAAGGAAAAGCAGGCTCCATGCAGGGAGCCCGAAGTAGGACTCGATCCCGGGACTCCAGGATCATGCCCTGGGCTGAAGGCAGTGCTAAACCACTGAGCCACCCAGGCTGCCTCCATTGTGTACTTTTTTTGTGTTTATTCTGTGTGTCATTTTTTTTACAATCTTGTATCTGCAAATTTCTGTCTTTCATCAAGAAAAATCTTAGGCAGTATTTCTTCAAATACTTTTCTCTACCCCATTCTCTTTCTTATCTCCTTCTGGCATTCCAGTTGCACATATAGTTGATTGTTCAGTATCATCTGGGGTTCATATAGTTGTAGCAGTGTTGAACCACCATTAAACACCAGAAAAACCTGGCTCTATTCTTCTGATCCACAGGGCATCTGAAGATAGGAGTATTGAGCAGTGGGAATCTGAAGCTGTGCTCCTTTTATCTTCTATCTTTGGTAGGAGTTAATATGCCTCTATTGTTAGCAACTGTGCTTTTTAGCCAGGGATCTCTTTTATTCTGTGGGAAGAAAACCTCATAATATCTCTATATAACTCCTAAACACACACACACACACAATGTCAGAATTATTCTATTCCTTCTGAGAAATAGATGGAAAGTGAGGTTTGTCTCTTTTTTTAGTTTCTTTTTTCTTTCAAAACTCACACAAAAGAATAGATGTGCTGAGAGTCATTCTTTGCTCATAAAGAACTAAAGTCAAAGTCCATCTGGGAAACCAAGCTGAGACTGCCCTAGTATTTGACCATAAGAGCAGATGAAAAGCAGGTCAGTGGTAGGAGAAGTCAGGGTCCAGGAAAACACTTAGGGCTCCATCTGGTATATATTTGCTGATTCATTAATTTGAGATTTGTTTTCATTCAGCAAATAGTTATTAAGAACCTATTATGTTCTAGCTACTGAAAATAAGGAGTTAGCAAGGAACTAGCACTAGGGGAAGCAGCTGAGACCCAGTTAGGAGGCATGGTTAATGGGCTTCATTAGTTCCTTTGCCCTGTTATCAGCTTGGTAACCTCATGCATCCTATTCTGGAGCCCTGGTACAGATGAGAAACAGAAAAAAAAATGGAAATAACAGTTATTTAAGGAGACAGAGGAGAGAAGAGTAATTCCCGAGCACACAGAAGGAGTGTTCTCATTGGGCCATTTGTGTCATGCAAAATGAGTCTCTGGCTTAAGGCCTGTTAAATAGATGAGAAGGTATCAGGCGTCTTAGAGGGGAAGTTAGCACAGACTTGGCTCTGGTCCAGCACGGCAGGGTGGAGCCAAAGGCCAGACCGGGGCACGGCCCTAGAGTTCTGGACAGGACGTGCCCATTCATGACCGAAGAACTATGGGCTTCCAGTCTGGCAGGTGCAGCTCAGCAAAAGGGAATCCAGCCTGTGTTCAGGAGTCAGACATGCTTCCTGTCTGGCATATTTGCCCAGCTGTCTGTTCAGTTCATTGCTGCTGTCTCCAGCACAAATTTGGAGCGATTCCAGTTCCCTTTTTGTAATAACTAATATTTACGTGGCACCTTGCACTTGACAGAGTAGTCTTGTTATTTCATTTATAAACCTCACACCAATCCTGGGAAGCAGGGTAAAGATCTATTTGTGATCATCGAACCTTGTTTAGTATGAAAGGAAAGAGGTAAAATCAGGCCTCAGTCTTGTGCGGGTAGTTTTCTCATGTCTGGTTGTTGTAATTTTCTTTTCCCCTTTTAAATAGAGAAACACAGGCTATGCTATTCTGGGTTCAGATAGCAACAATGTTAGTTTAAAATACACAATGGATCAGGTCATTTTGTACTGCTTGGCCCAGTCTAGCTGGACAAACATTTTTATATCTAGAATGACCATTTTCTTTTTCCTAAGATAATATTTTAAGCCAATGAAGTATAAGAAATATAACTAGCCCCCTCCCTACCCCTGTCCCCCACCTCCAACTCTCAGGAGAGAGAGATGGAATTGTATTTACTGTGATGCTAGAGCATTATAGGAAGGTAGACCTCAGGTAAATGGGAGGCTACATTTTGCCTGTTTAGATGATATGCTTAAAACTTGCCATATCTTGACTTCCCTCAAGAACAAGATGAACATCTAAAAATTAGAGCAATGAAATCACTGCTTAAGATGGGGTCAGCAACCTCAGGTTGGTTGCCATTCTCATTCACCCCAGGGAAGAATGACCAGACCAGGAGAATTCTCTGCCTTGAGACTCAGAAGGAGATGAGGTTTAGGTGCTTGGTGCTATTGCCATTTCTTTTTTCTTTCTTTCTTTTTTCTTTTTTGTGTTACATAGATAAAAAAAATAGGTCTTTTTCTTTTTTCAAGTACCAGTAGCTTAAAAGTGTTTAATTCAGTAGAATCACATAGAAGGTCAAGAAAGAACAAAAATAGTGTTCTTTTAGAAATTAATTGAATTTTAAAAGCCATTCCT